CGTACTACCATTTACGCAACTTATAGGTGATTGACATACGACAACAGCTGTAGGATTACTTGTTGACGAGTCACTGGAACAATTCTTCACCCCCTGTTGTCTACATATACTAATAATATTAGGCTCAGATAAGGTGGTCGTCGACTGAGCTGTAATAAATGCATACCAATCAGTATCATTTTCAACTGTATTCTCATCGGATGGTAGATCGAATAGTGAACAGGTATCATATTTAGCATTAGTCGTCAGTGATCTACGATGACGATTCTGTGTTGTAGGACGTTTAGCATATTTTGTAGTATTATGATGAAAACGATGTAGTAGAGAATTCTGTAGACGATCAATAGCACTCCAACGACGGAAAGGTGAATGTGAATTACCTGCTGCTGTTGTATTCGAATTGATTGAATGCTCTTCATCAGGTGATTGTTGTGATTCACCGTCAAGCTGATCATTCATTTGATCTGCAAACTGTATATATATTATTAACAAAGGGAAGAATAACAATTAATGGTAGTAGACAGTATTTAAAAAGACTTATACTACTTATAAGTAGGAACAAAGGATTTGCAAAAAACAAATTACATTCAAAACGTTTTTTTTTTAAAAAGCAACAGTTGAAAACCAGGGAGCACTGAACGCCTGTTACGTCCTAGTTTGTGACCCTTCAGAAGTACGCTCCCAAGGGATCAGACTCGGGAGCCTAAGGTTAAGAAGTCAGCTCGTTGACCACCCAACCACTTGGGCCGGTGGTATTCAATGACCCCCTGAATTCTGACTCCTACCAATTCGTGATATAATAACAATAGCTTTATTCTGGACAGTGTTTATATAATGTACAGAATTTTCAGCACAGTTATTTTCGATTTGTGTAGGATCTTCAAATAAAATATTAACTGACAGTAGATCGTGTGGCACGAAGCTGTATGGTATGATCTGAAGTGCAAACCAATCCATTATGATATTGTTTCTTTGTCTACTTTGAGCAATGTATGACACTTGTTTGAAAGCCGATCGTAAAATGTTCAGGAGTACATTTTGGAACTCAAGGACATAACTAAGGATCAGTTATCTCACGTATTGGGATACTTTGTCTACCCCACCCCCACACACACACACGATTATGCCTTTTCTCAGGTTTAACAGAAAATGGCGAATCAGTAGGTCGTAAACATTTTAAATTCTCGTAAGAGGTCATATTTCAGTAGACTAAACCAAACTAAACGACGGAAATTATACTCAATATAATGATGGAAGTTTTTAGTAGCCCAAGTTTTAAGCAGGCCGCCGATGAATACAGCACCATTATCAACCAATGGCCATCGATGAGCACCCTACCTTTCATGGTAAAGTTAAAAGTAATCCAAATCCGTCAAGCATTTTACCAGACCAAACTTCGGGGTGGCATTATTGTTTCTACACCCATAAAAATCGATATCCCTTTTATTTCAATTTTGATCTTCTGGAAAGACAAGAATACTCAGGGACTATTAATGAACATGAAAGTCAACATTTAACTATTTTATGGTTTACTGACGCTGTCTCTGTCTGTCTGGATTCAACATAGAACTTGGCACCGAAGTGCACCAGTTCGAGTTGCCACGTTCCAAATAGCACACAAAGGTAGACAAGAAAATGAGTGAAGAGAATCAATAGAATTTAGATAAGTATAAGAGTGAAACAGAATGAGTAATGGTAGAAAGGAATATGAAGGTTATAGAGACTGAATACATCTGCGTAAGCCATTGACAACGATTTTGAGCCATGTCACCTATTGTCTCCACCCATTGATTCTTAGAGTCCCGAGCGCGGGCCCCAACCCGGAAGTCTGCATCTCCCTCCCTACCTGACTCAGTTTAACTGTCAGGGATTTCATGGATTGATGCCATGTTTTTGTTTGGCCACCACTTACTCTTTTCCAACCTGCACCTATATCAGCTAGTAATGACCGTCGGGGAGGCGATGGTTAGGCATGCGCAGCACGTGACCTAGCCATCTCAATCTATGTAACTTTATAGCCTCGTCGATTGATTTTCCCTCTTTGCCCAACACTCTACGCCTAACGTCAACATTACTTACCTTATTATGTTTACTGACGCTAAGATACTACAAGGTGACTGATTTATTACTGTCAGTTGGTATCTGTAGTTCTGTCAGCAATGACAATCATAAACCAAGACAAGTATGTGTAGAACTCACATGACAATAACTACAGCATAGATTCATCAAAACAGATTTATTTATCAATCGGGTTTTCAGAATGAAAATCTTTCATAATTCTTCAGGAATAAAATTTAAAACCTATTTTAACTCATACAACTTCAGCAGAAAGAGAAGAAGTAGTATATGTCTGCTGTGTTGGGGTTAATGACATCATAATACAGCTGCACAAATTCTGCTAAATATGTTGGAGACGCGCATTATTTACTGTCAGATGATAAAGAGATTCAATTGACAGGCATCGACTGCATTTGGATTTTCAGAGATTCACAACTGTGCTGCTACTACTCACTAACACCCTCAGAGATTACCCTCTAGCTATTCAGCAAACTACCGGTCCTTTGTATAAAAGCACTATGTAAAAAAGGAATCGGATATCTAGCTGCGAAGGTACCCACCCACCCAGCTGATTGACTTCTCCTAACGTTAAATATCACAGCAAAAAGCATTATAGTGTGTAGAAACATTGTCTGGGCACACACAGTGCACAGTGCAAAATTCAGAAGAACTTTAATGAACAGAAATGTACAGGAGAAAGAACAATTACATGTAGAAACGTGAGAACTTCGTGGATTTAGGAGAGTATCCCAAGAGTGAATGAATCTGCACCATTGAGAACGATTTTGACTCATATCATCAGCAATCTCCAACCATTGTCCCTTAGGATTTTAAGGATTCCAGTCCAGCTAGGCAGTCTACACCTCCCCTACGTGGCTGGCTCAAACAAACTATCAAAGACTATCAGACTTGATGCCACCCTTAACCCTTTTCCAACCAATCAACTGACATTTAAAGGCCTGTTTAGATCACTGGGCTGCCTAAATTTTCTATCTACCAAAATGCATCACCATATTTACTACGTTTCATATTGTTTTAATCACCCAATTACCACAATGAGTCGCGATCTATACTCGCACACAATTTTAAATAAGTTTCTATCTATCACTAGGAATTCTTTGAAAGAAATGGACGAAGAATATTGTGAAGTAGTATTGGAACATGCTACGAATGGAATGGTATTGCTTCAGACGATATATTATCGATTACTATATTTAGATGAAGCAATAAGAAGACGTAATTTGTTTGAATCGTGTAATGTATTTGCGCAACACATTTCGAACAATCTGATCACACACGGACTTGTCATAGGGATATATATGAAATTAATAAAGAGTTAAGAGGTGAGAAAATAAACTTAGGTCAAGTTAAAAGGACATATTCAAGGTCAAAATAACAATGAAGTCCTCTGAACCAAAGAAGGGAGGTATTAGTACATCTGCTATGGAATCAAAACAAAATTTACCAAAGAAGGTTTAATGTGATGATGAATTGTTTTTGAACGCATAAAGGTGGTTTAAACTTTCTAATTTTTTTATTTTGATTTTGATTTACAGCTTGATTCCACACCGTATTTTCAGTACAAGTGTGGAATTTTCAGCATGGATATCGGTAGCCCAAATTCAGGCCGACCATAGATATCGGGTGTGCGTCGGCAGGGGATCGAACCCCGGACCATGTGCATGGTCGGCGAGAGTCCTAACCACTGTGCCATAGACGCTAGGGCTTCCACAAACTTTAGGATACGTCCCAAACACGTTTTATAGATAGGTTTAAAAGATCTGTTAACGTCAATTTTATGTCCTGTCTCTATAATATGTTTCGCAATAGAGGAGCTAGGTCTCTTGTTCTCACCATTAATGGGTTCTGGGGATTCTATTTGCTTCTGAAATAGCCATTTAGGAATATGCTCTGAAGCCAGCCCTTACTTCCAGAGATCGATGAGTCCTCCCCATGTGTGTGTCCACACGTACATTCAAATTGGTAAATACAGTAGGATGTGACGTCATTTTTCGCATGTTCGAAGGGCTTGGATAGATATATTGGCTTCATTGCATGTTCGTTGGATTCTACTGAAGAGGCACCTTACTAAGGCTCTTTGGTACCGAACAGGGCAGAAACTGTGGTAATTCAGATACTGTCCTGTCCAGGAAGGTTTTCTATAAATAGATCTTTTTATTGATCCATCAAGCCGTCGACTAAGCAATATGTCTAGGAATGATAAACAGTTATCTTCCTCTTCTACAGATGTAAGTGATATGCTATTCTGAACTTCATTCATTCGATTTAAAATTGAGGTGGCAGAACAAGACTTATCAATGATGATTACAATATCGTCTACATACCTTCTATAAAGTGGCACATTTTCGATTAAATCCTCCGATAAATTCTCAGTGTACGACATATAAATATCTGCTAAAAGGGGCCCTAACGGACTTCTCATAGCAACACCATTAACTTGGCGGAAACAATCGCCTTCAAATGTAAGCCTAAAATTGTTAGTACATAGAATATGTCCTTTTAACTTGATCTAAGTTTATTTTCTCACCTCTTAACTCTTTATTAATTTCATATATATCCCTATGACAAGTCCGTGTGTGATCAGATTGTTCGAAATGTGTTGCGCAAATACATTACACGATTCAGACAAATTACGTCTTCTTATTGCTTTATCTAAATTTATAAAGGGAACTAATTGTTTTAGATTATTATATTGTTTGAAGATTCTGCACAAGGAGTAAATACCTTGCTATAAAACCCGCTGAAAAGTCTGTATTGTTTCTCAATGCAGTTTTCAGAATAAAGCTATTATTATTATTTTGATTTCTCATGAATTGTGATCAAGATTTGACTGAGTAGTTCCAAAATAGTTTCAGTTTCGCTGAGACTTTACAAATATAAGTTTTACGTATGTCTATTATTATTATTATTAATAAGAAAACATGTAACAACAGAAGACAAGGGCCAGGCAACAGATCATTTAATAAGGAAATCAACGCATGTTTATATATTTTCATGTACATTACTATGGATATTTAAGCAAACAAACACAGTCTTCCGATTGGTTGTTTCTCACGTAAAGTTAATCTTTCATCTATTTGTGACTGTTTCTTGAATGTCAAATCCTCTATATGTTAACTGCATCCGCCTACGCACAGTCTGCTGTGGTCGGTTTTGAATAAATCTTTGTTCACATTTTCTCACGACAAATCTTGGGAACGTAAATATTGACGTAAATTACTGTCTACCAATTTGGCTAGTAGACAGCTCTCACCACAAATACTGCTCGTCGAAGAAGGCGGGGGTTTGACATGTGTAGCACGTGTCGTAGCTACCTCAATCGATGTGGTTTAATAGCCTCATCGATTGACTTCCTGAGCTGAACTCGATGAAGACATGAATTTCTGAAATAAAACTACCTTTACTTGTTAGTTGTTTTCTTTTCTTTTCCTCAAACTAGCAAATTATTAAATGAGGCTCTAAGACTGAGACTTTAGGCATACGATTACATACAGCAATACTAACCATGCTAAAGTGATATTTTCTCACAAACTTTATCAGGGGCAAAGTTAAACTTTCAGCACCACTAACTACCAATCAGCGAATGATCTCGTACACACCAATCATGTGAAGGAGGCATAAAAACTGTAGAAAAGTGTTACAGAGGATACCTTCCTTTCACATGTGATGAAAATAGCTCTGTTTTAGGTTGGAGTATCAACTTGAGCACTGTGGTAGAGTAACATTTATTTTGATGAAGTTTCATGGTGTAATACAGTAATACTTACTGAGCAATAAATTGTGATCGAAACGTGGTCATCAGTAAATATTACTGTACAACAATGTGAGACTTTATCAAAATAAATTTTACCCACAATGGAATTATTCTCTACCACAGTGCACAAGTTCTGTTCTTATACCAACAGAGTAATTTAAACACACTTTATGCATGTAATTATTAGGTCTTCTTACCCTAAAAATAACCCTTATCTTTGCTGAACCTAACCCTAACGTGAAAATTTCCCTAAACTAACTGTAATCGAACTCGAACCAATCCTAATGTCGCCTTTATTAGGTTAACCTAACCCTAACTTGTCCTTGGTTTAAAGCGCAACTTAATCTTTCCCAAACCTAAGCTGAAACTTCCCAGATATCCCATTTAACAGCATAACACTTCGATGAGCATATTTTATTGATGATGACAACATTATTTGCCAGGTTTCACTAGCTTGCTCAATGAGTGCTTCAAGGTCATTGGTGCGGTCACATTCTATTGATAGTTGATGGTGCTTAAAGTTTAACTCGGCCTTATCTGAGCATTATTGACGATATCAATTAGTCAGTTGAGAAAACCTTGGGTATAACTTATACACTTCAGGGATTATAATTTACCTGTTGATGAGGTGTTAACCATTCGACTGGTAAGGATCGTTCAATAAAAGGTAATTTAGCTGCAATTGTAGCTAACCGATTTATCCATTTCGGTAATGAACGACCACAAAGTATCTAAGAAAGAGAGAGGGAATGAAATGGAAGGGAATGAATAATTACGTAACATAAAATTCAATATATATCCATTCAAAACGCAACAATTGATTTAGTTAATTTCAATCATATCACACGGCATACATAACTTATTAGTAATCGCTAACCCAAATCAGGCGTACAAGCTAACTTAAATCGAGGTGATGTAGACAACTAATGGATGTTTCGTTTTTTCTTAAGACCAAGTACATCAACGATGCTCCTAGGCTGATTGAGCTCATACAACCATATCACGCCAAAGTAATCAAAAATTATGCTTGACAAATAGTTAACTGCATTCTAGGTATTCTCTCCCACTGCACCTTATTTGCTAGCCATACACATTTTGCGGTGCTCGAGATAGTTCAGTTTTACTGCGTTAAACTAATCCCTGTCTTAAACGAGCAAAATAATCATGCAGTGTTGAAAGTTATATCACATTCACTAGCTACATAAATCAGGAACAAAAATAGCATCATAATAGCATAATCTCATCAGAAGAAAAATAAAAGAAAGAAAAATAACAAAAGAGTGAGAAGAGAGGCGTTTCTTCAACAAACACAAACAAATCTTATACAATTCTTCCCATCAAGCAAGTAGTGACCACAGTTTTTTAGGGTGTGTACTACTTATTAGCGCTTTTTCTCACGTGTTTTTTTCTATCCTACTACCCTATTCCCGGCTGTCAGTAAACACTGGAAACAATAAAACAGAGGCTAATGAAAATAAGGCATTGATGAACTTATCGGTCTTACTCATCCCTCTAAATCAAATTTATTTCATTACAATATATAGCTGAGTGTTTATTATATAAGGAAGCAACAGTATAAAATGACAATTTGCGATTCAGTTTGCTAAAGGATCTGAAAATAGTGATTTTATACTGAATTCCTTCAAATGCTTTAAAGGCATAAGCAGAAAAAGAAGATGAGGAGTTAAACACGCACCCACGCACACATTCAAATGGATATTTGGACTTCCAATCATCCCATCCCATGTCAGTGCAAATAGGATTGGTGAAATGTTTAAGTAACAGAGCACGAAAACTAAGTAGTACCAAGGGAAATCTAAGACAGAAAGTGGGGCATATGAGAGCAGAAGGTTTGAAACTTAATACTTACCCGAATAAATTAGTAAGAAAGTATGTAGGGAAATGTAAAAATAAAATAAATAATGATAATAGTGATAGTGATAATGATAATAATAATATTAATGACGACATGTAAGTCAAACACGCGAAGGATAATGACAACACCAACAAGAGGGAATTTAAATCATCAGTTAGTACTTCCATACAACGAAGGAACCTCGGAAACCTTACACAGAATTCTTAACAAGTCATGAATAAAAGTGCCTGGCATTCAAACCACCCACAAACTCCATTAGAAACAAACTGTCGGTTAAAGGATCCTGCCGAGCCAATAAAACAAAACAATTCAGTTTACATAATACCCTGTCTGCAATGATTGTCAAGTCAAATACATAGGTCAAAGTAGTAGAACGGGGTTAGTCAGTCAGACTAGCGGAGCATAAAAACCTAGCGAAATCTAGATTGGTTGACCCGAATAAGATAAGAAGTTTATAGAATAGTTCAGCTATAGTACTCACTACATGCAATTAAATACAACCATACAATAGGATGGGATAGGATGAGTTTTAAAATCTGATGTCACAGTGTGGAGGGAGAGATTGATAACAGAAGCTTCGTTTATCGAATCAACTGCAAATACATGCAATAGGAATGGTTCAACACCTGTCCCACATATCTGGAAAATTCTACTACCCATAGGAGAGAACAAAGAAAACTCAAATTTCGAAGTCGTGTGATTATAATTGATGAAATGATCATGAACAATAAATTGTGTTCGAAAATGTCATCCAGTAAATAATATTGTCTCGCTGTGTGATATATTTGAAAAGAGTCTCTTCGCTGAATCATTTGTTTTGATTTTCTATATTTCTAATACACAAATTAATGTGGAATTACTTACTACCACAGTGCCTAAGTTTTACACACAATGCTAACACTTCTGGATGTTGGCAATGATACACCCGAAATTTTCGGTACATAGCTAGCATCCAGTGGGTCGGTGGCACAGTGGTTAGGACGCTCACCAACCATGTACATGGTCCGGAGTTCGATCACCCACCGACGCACATCTGATAGCAATGGTCGGCCTGCTAAATTTGGGCTACCGACATTACATGCTGATCCTCTTAGTGAATTTTATAGGATAGTTATTTGATACCAACGCTTCTTCTATCTGTTTTATTTCATCATTTAGGTCTTTTCTTGTACTACTTAGTGCTACTGCAAATAAAAATAGTTGAGAAACTAGTAATGACAACATAATTAAGAGAGAATATAAAGCATCTACAGTTTTACCACATAAGGAGGGGACATCTAAGTCCCTACGTAGGATTCTTAATAAGGCAGGAATTAGAGTGGCATTCAAACCTACAAACTCATTCAGATAGGACAAGCTCTGTAGGCTAACGGACCAGGTGGACGCAATTAAACAAGATAATATAATTTACAGAATATCTTGCAATGACTGTGAGTTAGGTCAACTGCATAGGTCAAACTAGTAGATGGGGCGTAGTTAGATTGTCGGAACATAAGAATTTAGCTAAGGTAAGAATGGTTGACCCTACTAAGATAAGTAATTTAGAAAAAAGCTCAGCAATTACACTGCATGCATGCTTTAACACACAATCACACAATAGGGTGGGAGAGAGTTAAAATTCTGAGAGGTAATATAGGTAGGTGGAGAGAGAGAATGATTATTGAATCCTTGTTCATTGAGTCTACACCCAACACGTGCAATAGGAGTGACTCATCACTCATACCAGAAATATGGAAAATACTACTACCAATCCAAACAAACGATGGAAAATAATGGAATTATATAAACGAAGTTAGAAAGTTGTGTGAGTACCTTGATACGACTATAAGTAACAAAAAATTGTGCTCGAAACGTCGTCATCAGTAAATATTACTGTACAACACTGTGAGACTTTATCATGAAAATTTTTTACTCATAATGGAATAATACTCTACCACAGTGCACAAGTTTTATTCTTATATCAATCTGAATAATTTCGGTTTCTGGTGAAATTTCACCTCCTTGGACTGTGTAAATCATTCAACGTATTACTAATTTGCTCAGGAAGCTGGCTAGAATTTGGCTGGTTTGAAATGATTCGGTTATCAGAGCTGAGTCCAACTGTGTACACCGCTGACGAGCTCGGTCTACAACGAACGAAATAATCGTCCGGTGTATAGATAACTTGGATCGGGCTAACAAGCACTACTTGTTGATGTGAAGGGCGTTCAACTACTCAAGCCAGTCAATCATTGTCATACAACGTCACTGATTGGCGATTGTTGCTTGAAATCAGACGATAGTGCTATATAACAGCTGATGAAATTTAGTGTTCCAAAAGGTCACGTCTTCCTCTTGCGGTGAGTGTTTACGAAAGTTTGATTTCCCCTGTGAATATCACAGATGCTCCCGAGACCTAAAGGCTGATCCATTATCAGGTACACGAATAACTAGGCAAGTTTCTTGTTGATATTGAGACATATCAAAAACTGACTTCAGTTAGAGAACTACTGGAAATCAGGGAGTACTCGACAGGTGTTACGTTCTCTCTTGGGACTCTTCATCAATACCCACTCATGACCCGACTACGGATCGAAACTGGGACCTTCAGGTTACAAGGCGAGCTCGTTGACCATTCACCCACTGGGAAAGAATCCAATGGCCCAGCCCATAAATTCCAACTTCTGCCAATTTGCGATATATAGCGCGACTGCCATCCAACGTCATCGACGAGTTTTGGCTTCACACCTAACTTGGTAGACCCAGCTGGTTACAACTTCTCACTAGAATTTCAGGCAACTTCATCCTGTAATCAGTCATTAACTGATTGGCTGGTTTCAACATAGAACTATGCACAGAAGTGCAGCAGCTCAAGTTGTCACACTCCATGTAGAACACAAAAGTAAACAAAAGAGAAAAAAGAGATTAGGAAGAATAATAATAAGTAGGGAAAGCATAGTAATATAGAAATATAATAATAGAGGTTTTCTGGATGTAGCAGATCACGGATGGTAAGTGCATCTTAGACATGGGCAACGATTTGGATCCATATTACCAATTGTCTTCATTGGTTTTTACCATCCCGAAGAACCCCAACCAGGCAGTCTACACTTACCCACAAGGTTGACCCAAGCTAACTATCAAAGCTATCATGGATTGATTCCACGTCTTCGTTTTACCACCACTCGCTCTTTACCAACCTATTCCTATGTCAGCTAACAATACCCGTCGAGGAAGGAGATGGTTAGTCATGCGTAACAACATGTCCTAGACATCTCAACCGATGCAACTTCACAGATTCGTCGATTGACTTTCCCTCCTTACCTAGTACTAAACGCCTAAACTTCAGAACGCAGACACCTATGATCAGACAGCAAACCTTTTCAAATTTTCCACTTTCAATGGTCATGTCTCACAGCCATGGTCACACACACACACAACGATGAATGTAAAAGTAGGTGAATAACAACAGGGAATTGCATGAAGGGATGGAATACATGCACGACACAGCTATTCTATACATGTTATCCCACTTTCCAATCACTATTCTATTCTCATTACTTCAAAAACAATAAAAGAGTGAGTAATAATACAGTAAAAGTGGAGACAAAGATATGATGATAAGTGTACAATTATAAACAGAATTATTACTTTTCTACAATGGAATAAATTTTTTTTAAAACCAAAAAAAACTAGATGAGGGAAAAAAGAGGAAAGATTTCGTGACTGAAAAATTATTATCCGCCTTAAGGCCGAAACGATGATTTTAATTTCGATTATTAAGCAAAAATTCTAAAGTAATTTCTTTTTCACTTAAAACTATCCATCATAATTCAACAAGTGGGACACTGAATTTAACTACAAAGTTTTGTTTTAATGAGTCATATTTTCATAGCGCGGATATTTCAAATTTTAAAAAAAGCCAACTGCACAAGTTGTTACATCCCATTGATATGAAAAAAAAACAAGCACAACATTATTGAATCTAAACTTAGTCTACAAGAATAGAAGGTAACCTGATGAATGAGAAACACAGAAAAAGGATTGATTAAAACTAACCTGAACAAATGCATCTGCAAAATGATTACAATTTTTATGCAGTAAATGATACTGATCACCACTGAAATCTGGTGTCATACTCTCCAATAAGAGATTCACATCTGAAGCTGTAAAGTCAGTATATCCAATTGTTAGTGTTAATCTAGAGAAAAGAAACAGAAAAGTGCATTATTGAATAGGCTTAAAAGATGACTTGAGAAACACAATGGCAGTTTATTTTTTTTTTATTACAGCTTGATTCCACACCGTATTTTTCTGGTACAGGTATGGAATTTTCAGCATGTGATATCGGTAGCCCAAATTTTGCAGGCCGATCATAGATATCAGGTGTGCGTCAGCAGGGGATCGAACCCCAGACTATGTGCATGGTCGGCGAGAATCCTAACCACTGTGCCACCGACGCAAACTATAATGTTATGAATTACCTCTATTTAATAAAAATGAAATTGAGTCATACATTGTTGATATAAGAATTAAAAACTTGGGCACTGTGGTAAAGCGTAATTCCATTATGGATAAAATTTTATCTCGATAAAGTCACACAGTATTGTTATACAGTAATATTTACTGATAACCACGTTTCGAGCACAATTTCCTACTGCTCATAATCATATCAGGTTACTAACACAACTTTCTTCCTTCGTTTATATTATTATTATTATTGTTCCCTTGGGTTCCTAGTGGAACATAGGGCTTCAACTGCACGTCTCCACTTGCTTCTGTCTTCTGCTGTTCTTTTCACTTGCGTCCATGTTATTCCATACTGTTTCATCTCCTCCTCACACGATCTCCTCCATGTCACCCTTGCACCGACGAACCACTCGCCGCTTCCCTTTCGGGTTCCACTCGAGGGCTTGACGCGCGATGTCACTCAATGGCCTCCTCAGCGAGTGTCCAATCCATCTCCACTTCCTCCTGCATATTTGTTGGGCGATTGGTTCCTGTTTCGTTTGTTCCCATAGCTTCTTGTTTGTGATTCTTTCTGGCCATCTAATCTTCAGTATGGAGCGAAGACAGTTGTTGATAAAGGTCTGCAACCTGTTGAAAATATTCTTGGTGACCCGCCAAGTTTCTGATCCGTAAAGCAAAATTGACTTGACGTTTGTATTGAAAATCCGAATTTTGTTGTTGATACTGAGTGACGAAGATTTCCAGATTGGTTTCAGGTTGATGTGTTTCTCGCCTTCCCGATTCTCGATTTGACATCCTCGTCCGTTCCTCCTGTGGTTGAGACAATGCTCCCCAGATAAGTGAAAGAAGTAACCTCTTTCAAATCCCTCCCGTTGATGGTGATTGGCACTGGATGTTGCTGCTGTTGTTGGTTGGTTATTTTCATAACCTCCGTCTTGTCTATGTTCACCTGGAGTCCTGTCTTTGCTGCTTCTTCGACCAGTTTGTCGGTTTTTGCTTGTAAGTCTTCGATTTTGTGTGACATCAAACATAAATCATCCACGCGCGAAATCCAGGTCTTCTAGGTTCTTCACGTCGGTCCAGGATATCCCTGTCTTCTCGTTTCCCACTGTCTGACGCATAATCCAGTCCACCACAATTAGGAATATCATTGGTGATAATAAGCACCCTTGTCTGACTCCTGTGTTTACTCCAAACGCTTCGCTGAGTTTTCCGTTGTGGATCACTTGACATGTGCCGTTGTCGTACAGTTGTTGAATAAGGTTGATGAATATTTGGGGTACGCCGTAGTACTCGAGTAGTTTCCAAATTACTTCGCGGTCAACGCTGTCGAAGGCCTTCTCAAAGTCTATGAAGTTGAGGTAGAGATTTGATTGCCATTCCATGCTTTGTTCGATGATAATGCGTAGAGTTGCAATTTGGTCAGAACATGATTTGCCTTTCCTGAATCCAGCTTGTTCTGGTCGGAGTTCTGTATCCAGCGCGTCCTTGATTCTCTCCAGGATGATGTGACTCAGGATTTTACTTGGCGTCGACAGGAGCATGATTCCTCGCCAGTTCTTGCAGAGTCCCAGGTCGCCCTTCTTTGGTAGTTTCACCAGGTAACCTTTCCTCCAGTCAGTAGGCACCTTTCCCTCCTTCCAGATCTTTTGCAATAATGGGGTCAGCATATCTGCCGTCGTTTCTGGGTCCGCTTTCAGTGCTTCCGGGGGTATTCCATCTGGTCCAGCTGCTTTTCCAGCTTTCAGAAGCTTGATTGCATTCATGACTTCAGTTTTCGTTGGAGGATTGGTGTCAACTTGCAGTTGTGTACGTGCTGTTGTTGGTATTACTGGACGGGTTGTAGGTGGTGGTCGGTTCAAGAGTCCTTTGAAGTGGTCCGCCCATTGTTTAATCTGTCTTTCTTCTTTGGTAATTGGGTTCCCTTGGTTGTCTTTTATAGGTTTCACTTGTGTTGATCTCTTCCCGGATAGAGACTTGGTTATCTGATATAGTGTCCTCAGGTCCCTTTTGCCTGCTGCCTTCTCAGCTTCAGTAGCCAGGTTGTCGTAGAATTGTCTTTTGTCCTTCCTGGCACTCTTCTTCACTTCTTTGTCCAGTGCTGTGTAAGTTGAGTTCAGCGTCTCTTTCTCTTGTCCATCTTTGCATTGAATCATTTTTTCTTTCACCTTTCTCCTCTCCTCTATTAGATTCCAAGTGTCTGTTGAGAGCCATTCCTTGTCTTGTTTCTTCTTTCTTCCTAAAACCGTTGAGCACGTTTCGTTGAAAATTACCTTCAGAGAGTTCCAATGGTCTTCCACGGATGATTCCTCAGTGGTGCCACGTAGTGTTTCCTGCTTTGCTCTGACAGTTGCAGTGAAAATGTCCTGTGTGATTGTGTCCTTCAGTTTGTGAGTGTTGAACTTGCATTGTGGCCTATCCCCAGGTATCCTCGAGGCTTTCAGCTTCACCTTGAAAGTCCCTTGTACTAGATAGTGGTCTGAACCCACATCTGCTCCTCTCCTCGATCTTGTGTCCAGTAGGCTCCGTCTCCACTTCCTTGAGATTGAAATGAAGTCTATCTGGTTTTTGGTGTGTCCATCTGGTGAAATCCATGTTGCCTTGTGTATATCCCTGTGTTTGAACACACTGCCACCAATCACCAAATCATTGAAGGCGCAGAAGTCTGAGAAGAGTTCACCATTTTCGTTCATTTCACCGAGGGCCTCACGACCCATGGTGAGTTCTCTTCCTGTATTGTCTCCTCCCAGTTTCGCATTCATGTCGCCCATCAGGATTTTGATATCGCTCTTTGGGACGTTGTCCATTACTGTTTGTAGTTGACTGCAGAAATCCTCCTTCTTCTCATGTTCTGAGGCGTTTGTAGGCGCGTAGCACTGAATGATTGTAACCTTCTTTCCTTTTGAGTTGAACCTGGCTGTCATTATCCTGGAGGAGATTGGTTCCCACTGCATGAGAGCTTTAGCCGCTGTTGGTGACATCATGATGGCTACTCCCTCGGTGTGCTCGTGATTGTCCTCTGGGTGACCGGAGTAGATTATTGTCTCTCCAGTTGATAGTTGGCTCCTTCCACATCCGTTCCATCTGCTCTCGCAGATTCCCAACACTTCTATTCTATATCTCCTCATTTCTGCGGCTACCTGAGCAGCCTTCCCAGCTTCGTACATTGTACGAATATTCCAAGTCCCCATCCTTATTTTTGCTTTCATCGAAAGAAGGCACATCGGCTGACTGGCTTCCCGAAGGCTTTCACCAGCCCGCGTCATTTCACTTCCCCGATTCCAGCGAAAAATAAGGTCACTATTTGTAATTTTAGAATTTTGAATATATTTGTGCGTTGAAGTTTTAGTAGCAATTTGGTTAAGTTTTGGGGGTGGAGTTGCTAGCACCACGCCCCAACCCTCCCTCTTTATCCGGGCTTGGGACCGGCTAGAATACTAGTGACCTAGTAATCTAGGCGAGGTTTTCGTTTATATACATGACTAAAAGTGATTAGACATTTGAGTAAAATCAATATAAGAATGCGTGAAACAGAAAGGAAGATAGAGCACATTCGGAAACAATATTGGTGTAATCAATGAATATAATACGATAGGAATTAAGATGAGTGTTGTTAGTCAATAAGATGGGAATGTTGGGATGTTTTTATAGTCAAAATAAGCAACTTGTTAGAATGTTATAATGTGAATTGAATACATTTTAACATTATTTATTATCCACTGATTTGACTAGTGGTGATAATACCTTCCATATTTCTGATATTTGCGTTGAGTCACTTCTATTGCATGTGTTGGGAGTGTAGACTCGATGAACCAGGATTCAGTAATCAATCTCTCTCCGTCTACCTATAATACCTTTTAGAATTTTGATGCTGCCCCACCTTATTGTGTGACTGTGTGTTGATGCATGCAGTGCGATTACTGAGTTTTTTCTAAAAAATTACTTATCTTCGTGGGATGAATCATCCTAACCTTAGCCAAATTCTGATAATCTCACTACTCCTGATCTGCTAGTTTGACCTATGTAGTTGACTTAACTCACAGTCATTGCAAAGTATTTTGTAAATTGTATTATTTTGTATAATTGGGTCCACCTGGTCCGTTAGTTTAAAGAGTTTGTCTTTGAGTGAGTTTGTAGGTTTGAATGCCACCTTAATCCCTGACTTTTTAAAAATTCTACGTTGGGACTTAGATGTCCCCTCCTTATATGGTAAAACTGTAGATGCCTCATATTCTCTCTTATTTATTCTATCATAATTAGTTTCATCATTATTTTTATTTTGTTTTCGATCTTTTTTGATCTTCCTAGTGAATTTTATAGGATAGTTATTTAGCACCAACGCTTCTTCCATATGTCTCATTTCATCCTTTAGGTTTTTGGTTGTACTACTTAGTCATACATTTGTATTTAAATTCACTCGAGATTATTAAGCCAAATAGTAACTACTTTTTCATCTAGTATCTTCCCACTAAGTCATATAATAAAAGATGAGGCGTTTAACCAAGAGTGACATCACTCTTAAGCTGTACAATCGCATGTAGGAGACGAGTTCGTCTCAGCTGAAGCAATAGGAATCCACCTGAAGAAGAAGAAGTCAAACCTGTGTGTTCAGAAGAAATTTGTACAACCACTTTCCTTACCTTGGTCATCGTTACATGAATGTATGGAACGGACTACTTCGTCCCCCTCCCTCTACACCTTTAAAAATTATTAAAATTATGATTGTGCAAATTATTTTATTTTTCTGACTACTTCATCTTTAATTACGTGTTATTCTTGTAAAATTATTTTATTCCTATAACCAGTTCATCCTTAATTATAAATTATCATTGTTCAAATCGTTTTATTTTGAAAAGTACAGCAGAAGACAGAAGCAAGTGGAGACGTGCAGTTGAAGCCCTATGTTCCACAAGGAACCCAAGGGAACAATAATAATAATAATAAATCGTTTTATTTTCTTCAATAATCTGTTACGTAATCAATCTGTGCACATGCTTATTCCTTAATTACTCTTCAATTTTCCAAAATTATGCATTATGCAACCCACGTATTGTAACCATTTCTGCCTTTTAGTTGTGTGTATTAATTTTCTTCGTTAATTATCACCCCATTGACATGTTGACACTGACTAGTTATTGTTAACAGACATATGGTCACTTGATTGGTAAATTGTTGTGTATTGTAATAAAAATGCTATATATATTAGAGGATAGCCAGAGATGAGGATCTAATTGAAAAGTAAATATTCCTTCGCTCAATCTTTCTACAATTACATAATACAGATGGGAATAAAACAAGTAAATTGATAGACTTAACATAATTGACAGGATTGAATAGAGTTCAGATAAAATTGAAAGGGTGTCAAGAGAGAGAAAGGGCAGAAACACAACATTTTACAACCATATACAAGTAACTGTCTTTTCCACAAATTCAACGTAAGTATACTCACTTATAGGAATAATTTTCACCTAAATAGGCACTATCTTTAGGTAACATAGCAAATATCCCAGAGTTGGTTAATGGATGTCCTCCGTATGAATACTCTGGAAGAGAAAAAAAAAGGGAAAAAACTATGTGATAACATGTTATTGAGTATTCTTCTTAACTTTAAAAGTGGGAAGTAGGATACTTTTGATTGAACACTAGTTAGTAAAACTAGTGTGATGTGTCTAGTCCTACCTTTGGTGCAGAGTGAATGCTGTCAGTCAGGTTTGCAATGTGGCCACCATTCTAGGTGGCTTGCCATTACGATGCACTTTGAATTGTTGATATTACATGGTTAGAGGCAATCTTGGACCTAGGTTTTGTGCTAGTTGGCACTCACCAGTTAGCAAGGCGTATCTCCAATCACCTTGAAGGAGCTGCTCATGTCCAATCAAAGTATCCAATACAGTCCTACAGGAGGTCAATCACAAGCCCGAATAGCTACCTCAGTGATAACGTCTCTGTTTGCAGCACTGGGTGACACGCATTCGAATCTCAGAAGGGATATGAGTTCCTTCAAGGTTGCAGATACGCCTTGCTGACTGGTGAGTGCCGACTAGTGTGAAACCTAGGTCAAGCAAGGCTTCCTGCCGATTGCCTGCAACCATCTAATATAAGGAAGTAGGATAATTGAATGTATTGACCACATCACATACTGTACTGTACTGTTTCCGAGCTAATGAACCAACAAAATCTGATTCTATCCGATTGATATTAATTTTGCTTTACGAGTTTTTCGTCTTCTACATACAGCTGAAGCCAACGAAATCCATCTGAAGAAGCCAGACCTTATGTGATCAGGAAAAATTCGTGTAGCTACTTTCCTTACCTTGGCTATCAATTACATGAATGGAAAAACACTGTTAATTTACATTCTTCCCCCTTAAGTCTTTTACAAGTTAACATTGTCAAAATTATTTTATTTTTCTGACTACATCACCTTTAATTGCTTATTACGTAATCAATTCGAATATTCATTTACTTCTTAAGTATTCCTTATTTTTAGTGAAACTTTGCATTGTGTAATCCACTTATTAAGTTTTTGAGGCTTTTCTTAATTTCCTTAATTGTGGCATTAATTTTCTTGACATGGTGCGACCACTTCGCAATGTCTTCTTCGATAAGTTATTGCCTCCTCTTCAACCTGTTGTACCCTAGTGGTCGCATCTTTCCATTAGAACCCCAGGTAACTGCCTGAATAGGGCCAGTCGCTAGTGAGCATCAGATTAATTTTCAAGTATTAGTTTTGTATGGATTTTTGTTTGACTGGTTGGGGGATTTCATCATGAGCTGTCACCACACGGTCCTGGGTCTGAACCCTGACAGTGGGTGCGTACTACTGAGGCGTCCCAGACTAGGACGAAACAGCTGTCCAGTACTCCCAGGTTTTCCAGTGGTTCTCTATCTGATGTCAGCTCATGATGAAATCCTGTAACCAATCAAACAACAATCACTACAAAACCAATATACCTGAGAATTAATTTTCTTGGTTGATTATCACTCTTGTTTGGCATGTTGATATTGATTATTGTTGACAAATAACCCCAACTAGCTTGGTAAATTTCTGTATTAACCTAGAAATTACCATTTATGTTAATGAAGCGGCATAGATGAGAATTTAACTAAATACGTTTTCGCTCAATTCTTTAGTCTTCCATATTGAAATTACTTTTAAACTGACGACTTTATGGTTTGCTGAATTAATCCATATTCAGAAGCATATTGAGTATCATTAAAAGCACAGGGAGCAATGTTATCACTTGCATTTCTGTGCAACACCTATTGTGTAAGGGTTAATGATACTACCTGGTAGTCTGTACCTCAGTAAGTATAACGGGATTTCAATCCGTGACCCAATGGTTGCAAGTCAGGTACATGGATTAATAAGCTACGGCTGTACAATTTTTTTTAAATACTCTGAGCAACTTAATTTATAATCTCCTAGGGTACTGACTCTGTTGGATGGTTGATCTGTATAATTTTTGTTGCAGTTAGTATTCTTATACGCAAAGAGTGTCCTCTTAAATACACTGGCTGGCTGGATTCAACATAGAACTTGGCACCGAAGTGCAACAGTTCGAATTGCCACGTTCCAAATAGCACACAAAGGTAGACAAAAAGATGAGTGAAGAGAATCAATAGAGTTTTGATAAGTATAAGAGTGAAACAGAGTGAGTAATGGTAGAAGGGAATATGAAAGATTACAGAGACTGAATACATCTGCGCCATTGACAACTTAAATACACTATCCAAAGACAACGGGGGCACTTACTTTTGTCATTTTTCTGAACTTGTACGTTTTTGTGACAGTTATACAAAGCAGAAAAACTCATAAAACTTATAATCAATAATCCTTGAGATCTTTTGTAGCAAGATGCAAAACTCTTACCACCGAGATCATATGTAATGTTGCTGAATATGATCTCAGATGCTAATATATAGAGGGGTAGTCATCGGTGGTTCAGCTGTACAATGTTCTCCAAACATACACGTGGTCCGCGTCCGATTCTTGGCATATGCACTCCTCAGAGACTAAGACAGGCGATTGTACGCCGACCCTGTAAAACAACATCACTACAATTGAAACTTCATAGCTCAAGATTAGAATCCTGTGTTCCACTCAAAACACAAAGAAATGAAAACGGTAGGTCTGTTAGTTGAAAAAAACAACTTATTCCAGTGATTGAATGGTCAACAGACTCGCCCCATAACCCAAAGACCCTGGGTTTGATCCCTGTTGGGATCATGGGTGAGTGCTGCTGAAGAGTTTCAAACGGGAACGAAACAGCTGCTCAGCACTCCCTGGTTTTAACCTCGCCTAGTTTACTAGCTGATCTCAAGCCTGGAAAAACAGATGAGTTTTGAAAAATTAATTCAATAGCAGGAGAAAATTTAAAGCACAGAAAATATATGTAGAAGTAAAACGGACTAGTATTCCTTTGTCCATGATGTGGCATAATATCTGCATAAACTGAACTACAAAACACATTCGAAACCACACCAGTTATTTTTCATCAGATAACTGAAGGCTGTTAACAGATTGTAGATACGCATTACCTGTAGTTAGGTGAATTGTCACACCCAAGCCATAAAACTACCGCCCAATTGACGTATATTTTCTTAAAACTGGGTAGGTGAGTAGCAGAATCACCCATTCATATACTTCTCTCCGATAGATAATTTAACATGGAGTTATTTAAATTATTAGAGAAACAGTTTACTTTGACTTCATGTGAACTGTGATCAAGATTTGAACGAATAGTTACAAAATAATTGGGCGCCGAGTGAGAAGTAGACGTATGTAAAAATTATATTTGTAAAATCTTAGAGTAATTGAAGTGAGTAATTCCAAGGTTTCGTTCCGCAAACTGGTTCGAGCATCAGCGTATCGAACCCAGTGGGTGCGTAGTGCCGATTATTCCAAACTAAGATGAAACAGCTGTCCAGTATTCCCTGCTTTTCAAAGGTTATCTGGCTGATCCGTGATCGAGCTAGTAAAAACTTTATCACTTGTCACAGTGAAGAAAGACCACATCTCGAAAAGACAGCTTCTGTACCAAAGAAAGCTATCTTTATTAACCTACCATTCCAGAGTGACCAGATTATGCAGTTGACAACTCAAAGACTTCGGTCAGCCATCAAACGCACATTCTACACCGCATCTCTTTCTCTCACGCCTGGAACATTTTCGATCCCTGTACCTACGATTAAAGGACGAAATTCTGTGGACTCTATTTCAAATTGTATCTACAAGTTCACCTACAGTTGCGGTGACACCTATATAGGTAGAACCAATAGAATGTTCCAATGTCGTCGAAAAGAACATATTCCAAAATGGTTATTGAGACACATAGAAAATCCAAGTGCAATTAATCTGGATAGAAATCCATCATCATTCATTGCAAAGCACTTATTAATGTCAGGTCACAAAATCAATATTAATGACTGCTTCACAGTTATTTCATATAGCTCTAATTCAAGGTTATTGAGGGTGATGGAAGCACTTTGGATTAATCACATATACATCCTAAACTATGTGTACAAAAACAATAAACTTCAACCTTCGCCTACCATAGAATACTTGACCTGTTTAAAAATATGATTAGTCGTTAGTATGTACTTTTGATTTTTATTTAACTGAGTAATTGTCATGATCTTTATTTCATTATTGTGAACCATGTTAGTTGTAAAGCGGTTGTAAAGAAACTGCGAAATGATATCATCTCACGAAATTTGTCTTCTAAATTTATCAAAGGGACTAATTGTTTTAATGTTCTCAAACGAAGGCTCCCTAAAGATACTATAAGACTTCTGAACGGTCTTTTAAATCTGAGATGTAAAACTGTCATTCAGTGTGAACGAATAAGGTTTTATGACAACTGCATACAAAATAAACATTAAAAATATTAGTCTACTTTTGTTAAACACTTTACACAGAGTGCAGGTTTTCATCAGAATATTAGTGACTAAGTTCGACTAAAGTTCATGGTCGTAGATAACTGAATTTTCAAAAAAAAATATATGTATGTACGGTATAGAGTGGTGTGTGTGCATTCATGTATGCGGCAACAATTGCAAATGATTTGTTAGCCTCTCCAGAAGAAGATATAGACAATAGGGAATTCAGATTAAGTATGATAGATTAGTGATACATATCGATTTTTATTTATTAATCAGGACTTGCTCATCATCAGCTGATATCATACCTTCACGTATGTTCAAACCTTTGGGATTCACCCATACATGTAGAGCTTCTGCAGTCAATCAGTCAGTCTTTCTTTATATGAACCAAAACCATTCTGTAGAACCTTAGTCCTATCAAAGTCGATCTTGTGTCCCGTTTCTAGCGAGTGTAGTGTAGTCTCAGGAACCACCTTTTAGACTTTGTTTATTCTCCTTCATTCTTATATTTACCTGTCTGGAAGTTTCTCCTACATATACGGCGTCACAATCCCCACATTTGATCTGGTACACACAATTCTGTTGGTTTTCCTTTTCTCTTTCATCCTTAACCTTCACCAGAAATGAGTGTAAGGTGTTAGTTACACGAAAATACACTCTTATGTTATGATTGTTAAGGATTCGCTTTATCTCATCCGATGTTTGTTTGCAGTAAGGAATCACCACTGTGCTAATCTAAGTCTTAGCAGTAGGTTTCGATATATTCTTATCTTCACACTTTAAATATCTTTTTATGAAGTCTTTGGGATAATTATTTGATTCAAGAGTGGATTGAACTAATTTTAGTTCCCTGCTGATCTTTTCCTCTGTTTGGCTCTGTTAATCAGATTCTTGGCCACAGTTACTTTAGTGGTAAATGGACTATTACATCATGACTCATATGATTGGACAACATTAAAAAAAAAAAAAAAAACAAGAGATGTCCTTTTTATATATGAACCTCTGTTATTTTAATTTCGATTAATTTCCCTGAAGAAGTTCGAACCAGTTCGCCCAACGAAACGTTGGAATTACTTATTTCAATTTCGCTGAGATTTTAACATAAATAATTATTTTTTTATATAAGTTTATTTTTACTTTTATCAGTTCGAAAGATGTCACGTTGTTCTAAATCAGCGAACAAAAAGGAACTATTTAATGTACTGCAGTTCTTAGTAGTACTTTTTCGGTGGTATTTGCGTTAATTATGACAAGTAACTAGCATTAAAGAGTTACCAAACAAATGTTACTTCCTTCCTGACTAAGAGTAAGACATTCACGCAACCTACCGACCACTCTAATGGGAACTTAAACATGTATATAATATCCCATTCTCTCTATATTGGCATAGTTAAAAAAAGATGAATGAAAACAAGAGGAGATATGACTCAACAACTACTTACAATCCCATACAGTTGGCAGCAATCAGCCATACTTATTGTGTGTCCAAGGGCTAGTGGTACTACCTAGCTGCCCACACCATTGTAATTGCAGAAGGGTTCAGACTGGTTGGAGGGTAGACGTCTAGAACAATGGTCCACACCACCATACATGTGGTAAACATGACGACTCAGATCATTCAGATTTTGGGATTAGCAGAGATTCCGACGCAAATTTCCTTATTAATTGAAATCGTGTTAGAGGGTCACCATGGAGCAGTGGACAAGTGTTTCACCT